CTCTACAGAAAAATCTTTGTGGGAGAACTGGTTTCGTCACCGATGAACCGACCATGCAGCAGGTAGTATTGGGTTACATGGTACTAGTAACACTTGTAGAGTGACCTGATATAATTGAACATGTATACATTTGTATATAAAATCCTGTTGAAACGCGTGTGTTCTCTGCGCGACATATACAGAGTAAAAGTATCCATTTGTCATCAATAGCTGGCGGAGAGGGTAATGGCTTCTCCAGCTGTCAGTCGTTAAAAGTTGGCCACTTCTTATTTAAAACTTTGTAAATGCGAAGATTTTACTATCGAAACATTTAATGTAGGAGGACTTGTAAAAAAAAATGAAAAACAAGGGTTACTGACTCCGGACGTTGATAGAACATTGATGTGTTTTGTACCAAGAAACCAAAGTTGATAGTGAGAACAGTGACGCGTTTTGTACCAAGAAACAAAATTTTAAAAAAGTACTTGATGTTAATATCGGAGATTGACGGCACAAGTTAACTCCTTGGGAAACAGACAGTAAATATTTTGGAAATGGTTTTGTAATCAATGCCGAACGGAAGAATAACATCCAAAGACATTCGACGAGCAACCATAGAATTCACACTGAAAGACGACCTTAAAAGAACTACGAATAAAATTCTATCATTCTAAGTAAAAGAAAATTCTTTGAAGTGCTTGAAAGACCTGCAGGACTTTTGTGAAATTGTAAAGGACAGGGAAGTTTGGTGTGCTAGAGAGAATTAAAAAATTTAATAAAATAATGAAGAAATACTTTCCTCTTAATGATAACATAAATATTTTGAAGATGAAACTTTGTTTTTATCAAGTTTGGGGCCTTTTTCATCACTCTAAGCTCCTTATTAGAAAAATTTTGGAGTTACCAAGATAAAAGTTATTTATTTTACAAAATTGCTGAAGATGAGAAAACTTACGGATTTGTAGTGTACCTTCAAGTCAAAACAATTTGGTGGTGGTGATGATGATGATAGTGGTGGTGATGGTGATGATGACGATGGTGGTGGTGATGATGATTGTGGTGGTGGTGTTGGTGGTAATGATGATGATGGTGTTGGTGGTGATGATGATGATGTTGGTGGTGGTGATGATGATGATGGTGGTGGTGGTGATGATGATGATGTTGGTGGTGGTGGTGATGATGATGATGGTGGTGGTGGTGATGATGATGATGTTGGTGGTGGTGGTGATGATGATGATGTTGGTGGTGGTGATGATGATGGTGGTGGTGGTGGTGGTGGTGGTGGTGGTGGTGGTGGTGGTAGTGGTGATGATACTGATGGTGGTGGTGATGATGATGATGGTGGTAGTTGTGGTGATGATGATGATGATGATGATAATGGTGGTGGTGATGGTGATGATGATGGTAGTTGTGGTGATGATGATGGTAGTTGTGGTGATGATGATGATGATGGTGGTAGTGGTGGTTTCAAAGATAGAAATCAGAAAATTGCGGTATTTCTGTCAAATGGAATAGCGATTTTTTTTGTATCTATATATCTAATACTTACCAACGTATTGTAGTCAATAAGTAGCACAAACATCGAGAAACTTGACATTTACAGTTGCCGGACACTCCCCGTAAAGCTCTAATTAGGTACCATCAGGTTTCTTCCTGGTTCTTCCAGGAATTGAAAGAGGTGTTTTTCTCCGATGCTGACACTGCGTATGCGGATAAAAAGTAAACTAAAAACTTTCTTTATGAGTGAAAGAAAAAGTAGTCAAGACGATTTGAAATAAAAATGTGGAAAAACTAAATAGAGAGGATATTGGAAAATAAATTTGTGCTTTTAAAGAGAAATGAAGATTTTTTTTGTTTGTTTTTTATATCAATTCCATTAAAGAAAACTTATACTTAATTCCAGGAAGAGACATTTGGCATTTCTAGGATACGTCATGAGGAAAGAGGGCTTGGAAAATCTGATACTCTCAAGACAGATTGAAGGCAAAAGGGAAAGAGGAAAACAGCGCATAACATGCTTAATGACTTTGAATAAATGGATGGAGGAACAAGTTTTAGGAGATATAAGAAAAAGACAAACTTTATACAGAGCTACAAATCACAGGAAATTGTGGAAATCCCAGCTCGCTTACGCTGTTAATCAACCTTCGTACATATAAAATAACATTTTTTATTTAGTTACCCATTTGCAGCCTGTTTCATGTTTGGCCATTTTTCAAAATGGTCACTTGTTTCTTTTAGACACTCCAAAGATCTCTCGTTCTTTTCATGTTTTTTTTTCCAAAGGAATCTGTAAGCGTGCCGATATTTTGAAATAATTCCACGTGCCATAACAAGGTCACCCAGTGCATAAAAAAAACGTAGTTTGAGTGATCCAAACAGTGATTTGACCGAAAAAGTTGTGAGTTCAATACCTGGCCACAGCAGATTGAACAAAAATTTGTCGAGTAGAGTTACTAAAGGAAATTAAAAAAAACTGAGATATCCAAAAAAAGCATGGCATGTGGAATTAAAACAATCTACCCACAATGAACTAAATAAATGATTTGGTTCTAAATTCCAATGTACATCACCTGAAGAAGGCCACATCGTACAACAGCCGAAACATTGTGAATATGACAATAAAGATGAGAACAACAGTCCGAATGATGTAAATAGTGTAAATAGTTACAATACCCCATCTCAGAAATATAGATTAACTAGTGAAACTGTTCAAATCACCCAGTTTTAGTAAACAAGGAATATAGTACTGAACTGTCGCGTAATATCGGTCCTCCTATATGGCAATGAATGCTGAATAATCTTCTCGCAGATGAAGAGGAGAGTTGAAGAAACAGAAATGTGGGTCTGCAGAAGGATACTGGGAATACCATGGACTGACCAAGTGATTAACGAGGAAGGTTTACGGAAAATGGAAACAAAAAGGACACTTATACTCAGAATCAGAACGATACAGAGGAAAATTCCAGAATCATAAGGAAAGAGGGCTTGGAGAATTTGACGCACGCAGGACATACGAAGTTAAAAGGAAAAGAGAAAAGACGTCAGCAACCGACCTCACGAGTTTGTTTAAATGGATGGCATGACAAAAAATGGGAGTGGTCGTGAGAAGAGAAAACTTACTAAAAGCAACAAAAGATAGGAAATTGTGGTGAGCCTTTAACGTACACGTCAGGAAAAGAGACAGCACATAGAAAAAGAATATTTTACATTTGCCTGACAGGAGTATATGAGTATATGTGCTAGCGGACTTGTGTGTGGGAGGTGTATGTAGGGGGTGTGCGCGCGTGCGTGCGCGCATGCGTATTTGTGTGAACCGCATTTATGGAATTACAGTTTGCATCGTGTATATGGACGCAACATGTGAACAACGACGAAGTTTTAGAGAAAACGGAAACAAAAAAATCTTCATTAACGGTCTTCCTGATGTCATGATGTTCCCAAGTAGGCATCTATGCGAACGACATCACTATTTACTCCTGCCTCAAAAACAAATCTAGTGTCGCCGACAAAAATAACCTGGCCGTTTGTCTCGAAAAGGACCTTTAATCGGTTGTGGACTGAGGTAGGAATTGGCTGGTTAACTTTAATGCTTCAAAAACAAAACTGCTCTCTATTACTCACCAGAGAGAACCATCCCTGCCTCCCATTAGAATGTCTGACGTTCAACTCCTCGAGAGCACCTCTTTGCGACTGCTCGGTCTCACATTGTCCGCTGACCTGAAATGGAACGAATACATTGAGTCAATAGCTTCGTCCACCGCAAGGAAAGACCGCTCCATATGCCGCAGCAGGAAATTTTTCTCGCCGGAATCAATCCTTCAAATCTACATATCAACCATTCGCCCTTGCATGGAGTATTGCTGCCATATATGGTCTAGAGCCCCTTCTGTTTGTCTCAAGGTCCTTGATAAAATCCAAACACGGATAGGCGATGTAATTGTCCCTGATCTGGCATCTCGTCTGCAGTCGCTCTCTCACAGACGTTGCATCCCTCTGTCTTTTTTACAAATACTTTCACGGTAACTGCTCCAACAAGCTGCTTTGGCTGGTTCCCAGATTTCATGAAAAGCGTTCAGCTAGGCTGACATCTCGCTCTCACCCTTTCACTGTTGAAACTGTAGCCATCTCTTCTACTCCAATAGCTTCATGTCTCGCACCTCTCACCTGTGGAACTCCCTCCCCATTTCTTGTTTCCCTGATAGCTATAATCTCCAACTGTTCAAATGTAATGTCAATCGACATCTCCAGATGCCCTGATCTATCCCCTAACCTTCTCTTCATCCTTTTCTCTAACACTTCTCTTTGCTCTCGCTCTAACTCTCTGTAACCCCTTGCGTGTTAGTGGCTTCCCGCCTTGCTTGGGGTGGAATGCTTAAAAAAAAAAACTCTTCTTAACGTTAGAAAGAGACAGTTGA